TTCAGTTGCTTTCACGATTACAAGTGTAATACAGGCTATTAGATTTGAAGTGGTCGTTCAGAATGTAATAATAGTTAATACTAGTTGTATGTTCACACTTTACTATCAAAACCACCATTTCGACCACCCATGTGCCAGTTTTCAGTGTTTGGGCGAGCGGTCAATGTTTTCAATGAGCGAGTGAGCGAAAAAAAAACGCGATTAAAATGTGGTCGGTTTCCTGTCGGACAAGACCGCGTAGTCGGAAATTAAGCGATAAGCGGTCGATGTAAAAACGGAAGGTTGGGCGAAATGAGTACTTGTATGACCATGTTTCTCCGACGAAGTCTCGACTGACAATAATGCTGACAATGGACGTTAGATAAAGACGCATTGTTTGCAACTGGAAGCTTATCACCCCTTAATATATCAGAATCGTCAACAACAGAGTATACAGATAAGATGTTATCATTTAATTCCTTCCAAAGATAAACACTATGCAAATATCCACGAAACGGCAGTTGTAGTCTTTTCTGCTAGTGTTTTAAAACACTAATTTGAGCAACGTTATTTCGCAATTTCGATCTTTTGTAAACCTGGGGTGATGTATCTCGGTCTAAAGTAACCGTTTTATCAATTTTTGAAAAATCAAGAAAAAAGTGAAAATTTCCCTTCTCGCTACCTTAATAATTTTACACCATTACAAGTTCTTAAATTGAGAGAATGAATGTATGGACAAATATTGACCATTATATTTGTGAGTAAATACCTGTCGTTTAATTAATTTCCACCTCTACAATGTTGTTGAATTGAGAGAATAAACGTGTCGACAAATATTCGTGTGTAGGTACGGCTTCTAGATGAACTAAATATAAGATGGTTCCAACCAAAATGAAAACGAATTTCGGTTTAGAACAAACGCCTGAAGCAAGCATGTGTATCTCCTCTCTATAGGGGGCGTGTCGCTAATGAAACGCCGCCATTCAAGCACATGTGTGCTTAAACCAGAACTGTCACATGTCTGTGCGACGAAAGGAAACATCGAATCGTAGGCCCGGCTAGGTAAATTCAAACACGAATTATAGACACTCAACACCAAAAATCAAGTTATTGAGCAAGTATGGTGTAATAATCGATATTATATTATATTATATTATATGGTTACTAACTACTCACGTACCCGGGTTATTGCCCTTCGCTTCATCATGGCGAAAGTCACGATGAATCATGCACAATGTTCAGATAACTAAAATAATATATCCTAGTCCGGAGAATTAATATAAATACAAACACACTTGAAAGACATTTTCAAATACAAAGAAATATAATAATATATATTACCACGGTTGAACAATGTGTTCGCTCCGGATATCTTCGATACCTGCGTTTGTACGAAAACCTTTCACTTGTTTACAATATCTTACCTGTCAAAAAACTGTACAAAGACTGTAAATGGGCCTTGTCTTTATAATATGACCGTGAAAGCGAGCTCCATATTACATCAGACACTTTCTTGACAAAATCTCGAGTTGCATAGCCCGATTTACATTCGCTTTTGTCGACAGAACCTTTGATTTGGGTGACGAATTTCAAGTAGAGGGCTTCCACATTGGTCAACTCGATGACGGGAAAGATCCGCTGTACACCAACCGCCGAGGGTTGTGATTGCGGACCCAATGATCGATTGCATGTTAGCGAATTTTCAATCATGCCAAGCACAAGTGACATTAATGCCAGATCTGGCTGGCTATCCCCAGTGAGTTGAGCTCGAAACAGTTTAACGACAGACTCGATATCTTGCAAAGGAAAGTGTTGTTCAACGGTATCCGGAAAACCCGCCATCTTGCTTGTGTTGCAATGTAAATACAGTGCGCAGAGAAACTAATTACATGTAAAAATGCTCCGTGACGTCATCATTTCTGTAAGACTTGACCAATAAGTAATCCAAAGAACAAAGTTACTGAGAAATGATGTTTTGTTCGCAACGTTGTTTGTCTTTATTATATGGTCTGTTCGCAATGTTTTTTTCCAGAAAATCACAGGATTACATATATCACATTTGTTGTGGCATTCTAATTTTATCATTGATGCTAACGCCCTCTTGGGACGAGAAGATCACAATTTCTTCAAAATGGCCGACACCGAACGTACTGTGGAGTCAGAGGACAGAAATAATGGCGACGTCGCTGTTCAGGGCGAAAATGGGCAGGTATGATGATTTCAAAAGCTAATTTTATATAGTAGTTTTATATTATGACAGCTGTATGTTTGTATGTTTTATAGATGTTACATGGCTCCGCCAGAGACGCAATGCCGGTATACACTGCATGGAATGGACACAATGACTCGTTCGTAATTCGTATTAAATGTGATTATTTCCAATCATTGACACTGCTTGACATAAAGAGAACATCTCTGATCATATCATAAAAGTAAATATAATAATAACAAATTAATATCGTTGGTATATAATGCGGTAACATGTAACATACAACTAAGCGGAAGATCGTGGACATAGCTCAACAAAGGTTTTCTATAGTCTACCAAACATGCCTTACAATTACATCGATATACATGATATACTATGCAATTACATTTTTAACTAACACGTTTTATTTTCTCATAAAATGACTTAGGATTTGAAAGCCTTGAACGTTTAACATTTTTGTTGCTTTTCGAATATTCACATTTTTTCTTTCTACCTTTCTGTTTTAATCTTCAAATACACATTACATTATACCGGGGTAGTCTAAAATATAATTTTTATAAATATTCTATTTCTAAAAGTGATGGAAAAATATGAAATGTGGAAGGCTTCAAAGAACAGTTTGTTGATTAATAGGGATAAACTTAGTTTCTTTAATGCTTTACATCAAACACACTATGAAATTGCATCTTTTCAATATTTTCACTATGGTGTACATATTTAAAATCCCATGCTCTATTATGTGTATACATTAGTTGAATATGTCAATATTTGGCAATTTTTTTTTCGAAAATTCCACCATTCAGTTTGTTAGCAACTATGTACAAGGGTTCATGAATGATACAATAATAATAATAATTTTATTAACACTTACACATTCCCCGGAGGGATTGGCAATGGTTACAAAAGTTTAAAAAGGAATAAAAGGTTACAAAACAGTAAATAGATAAAAAAAAAAAATCTAAGCTAATACATTACAGATAATAGCAAGTATAAAATTATGATACTACGATAGATAGAAGACAAAACGCAAAACTCAAATAGTGAGAGAAGGTTGTCACTGAGGTTGCTGTCTTATTTCAAAACACTTCTTTAGGTACCTTGCTACGGGGAGTGTTAGGCCACTGTTGTTTAGCAAGACTATGAATTGTGTCTTTGGTGGCAAATTTTTAAAGTTTTGGATTTTGGTTTTTGCCATTTCGAATAGAACATTTCTTTCGGGGGTATATCTTTTACATGACATCATGAGGACCTCAAGTGATACTCATCTTCTACTTCATTTTGATCACAAAGGTTGCATAATCTAATTATAATTTGTTGCATAATTTTGATACAAGTGATGCCATTGGCTCAAAATGTGTATTCACATACCTTGGCCAATGGAAATGCATGTTTCATGTTGATTGTGTCTCTGTAATAAACTGATTGTGTGGTTTTATTGAAATGTTTTTACCAAATTCAAAATAAGTCGTCGTCACAAACTATGCAATGTTGGGGTTTCAAAGAGACATCTCTAGGTCAATTAAAACATAAGTGGATTACAGTCTTTACAACAGAACTTTAAGCAACAACTTCATTTGAAAACATTAGAATATTATTCAATCAGCAAATAGAAACCCCTTGAATTGTGAAATTTATAAAGATTTATAATGATAAAGGGAATGCCTTTGTTGCACTGAGAGTAAACTTTGCTTCAATTATCGTTTTTGTTTTATAACATTGTCACAGAAATGGACAATACCAACACACCCAAATTATTACAAACACTATGTTACAAAAATGGGTTGATACCCTGTATGTTCGCCATAAAATTCTGGAAATATTTTTGAACAGTTTGGACCATGATTTCACTCAGCTTGAATGATATCAACCTCACATAATTGAATATTATTTCTGTTTACATTCTGTTTAATCATTCAACGAAAAAATAAAGGATACGTTTCAATCAGATGTGCCTATCTGTGAAATTGACAACAAATCAATTTGCAGTATTGGCATTATTCTGACCTCTGAATAATTCAAGAATTACAATTTAAATAAATATTGTTCCTAATAATATTTTTGGGCAATCAATTTTTTTGTGACACTGATGGTTTTCAGGTCATCAACTTTGATCATGTTGACAAATATTACAGGTAAAGTTATACACCAATTACAGAAGTCTATGAACAGTTGAGACAATATAAAACAATACAAATGTCTTTTAAAAAAAATAGCCCTCCTTACACAAAGATATTAATGAAATTACAGGAGATAAGGAATCTTGAGTTTTGCTGTATTTATTCTGTTATGAGCATGTTCATTCAGTGCTTGACTAGGGACAGTTGTGACAAAATTTGTGTAGTCAGCAATCATTATAACTTGTATGCTGTCTTAGGAATGAGAACATACATGCATATTTCAGTGGTTTTGTATTAAATATTCAATTTCCAGTCAAACTTTTTTTTCATCCAGGACCATATTTTTATGTTCCTTTCTATGGTAGGTTGAACAACAAGAGCAGCCACAGCAGCAGCAGCAGCAGCAGCAGAATGGATGGCAAATGGTGAAAGGATTTATGTTTCGACTTCTTATTATATATATGATTAGTAGTTTCTTCCGTGGTCGTTCTAATACACCAGAAACTCCTACTGCAGGTCCTGATGGAACTCCTATTACACTTGGCAGGAATCTCTTTCCTAAAGAAACTATGATGGTAAGATTGCCATACATGTGATGTCATGTAAATTGTGAAGCCATACACAGGGATCTACCCACGCTGGGTGTCGCCGCTCGCTAGCGACCGAGACAAAAAGTTGGCGACCGACACTATTCTATTTGTTAGGATACACACAGGATATCGGCCACTGGACCATCATTCTATTGTCCTTGATGGTTTTAAGGGACGACGTCAAAAGATCGATGTCGGATAAAAAACTTATTTGCTTTAGTTTGGGGTGGGGGTGGGTGGATTTTGGCCTCAAAACGATTTTATTTTTTAATGAAGTCAAAAAAACCTTGGAGTATTTGTAATTTGTTTTTTTCTATTCAATCATAGACAAAAAAAACATCCAAGATGAGAAAATGGTTTGGTCCTAGTGTAAATATGTGCGTCAAATGTAGTCAATTTCAGGGCATGGACCTAGAGCATCCGCAGAACCCAAAAAGTAGTTTGCGCATGCGTATATTCCGCTTCATTATTACAACCAACTGCTATGCCATAATACTGTCAGATTATCAATTTGTATTTAATGGTGAATGTAGTCTGACGCCATGATCAATATTTATCAATTAAGTTTCAGTGGGGGGTTTTAGGAAAAAACTAAAAAAATTAAGTTTTTTATCTGACATTGATCTTTTGACGTCGTCCCTAACACACAACACAATGTGAAAAATTAACACACACAAAATTTGAAAAAAGACATCGCTGTTCAAAATCAATGTACACATGTGACATCGATCTAATGTGTTTTTGTTGTAACCTTACTATTGCATGTCTAGTTGTGTGTAGGATTTGTTGAGTTGAACAATAACTTGCTCACTTCACCGGCAGCGATGCGCCAAGCTGTCGTTCATTTAATCTGCACTTGCACTCGAGTGTAATAACCTTCATTGATGTTTTTGGCTTCATGACTCGTTAAATTCTTAAGGTATATTCAGTCAGCGATACAAGGAATACTTATTTTTCACTATTAATGTGATTTACAAGCATTCCATTGGATGAACATCTTTTTAGCTCTGCTGTCATTGTACATGACAGAGTGGAGCTGTTCATGTACTAGTAGGTGATTGTTTGTCGTCGTCTGTTCTCAATTGCATTTTTGACTTCTTGAAAACTCTCAGTTTAATTGCTTTGATACTTGGATGGAGATTTGCCCATTTCGTGACAATATTATCTTCAATTCTCAATTTTTGGCTAATATTTTTGTCATTTTTGGTAAAAAATACTATTTTCAACCTCTTTTTGAAAACTACCAGCTCAATTGCTTTGATGCTTGGTGTGTAAGTACCTTGGGTTGACCTCTGTCATGTTTGTTCTTTTTGTGACGATATCTCCAATTATCCATTTTTGACTCCCATGTACAAAGCACGGAAAGGGAGTCCTTGCAGTTAGTGTGTCTGTTTGTGTGTGTGTCTGTTCCACTGATATCTCAAGAACCATACATTGATTTTTGATGAAACTTGGTGCATAGATGCTCTGGACCAATGCGCAGATTTGATCAGGTTTTGGTAAAAATCCATGCATATCAATTATCTAATTTGCATGATAATTAGCTGATTTTTAGCTGTTCTATGATTGTTCCACTGATATCTAAAGAACCACTCATTGGATTTTGATGAAACTTGTCACATAGATGCTCTGAACTAATGCGTAGATTTGATTAGTTTTAAGTGAAAATATGTGCAATATTAATTACCTAATTTGCATAATAATTAATCAATTTTTGGCTTTTTCACTGATATCTCAAGTACTAATCATCACTAATTTCAATAAAACTTGGTACATAGATGTCATAGGACACTGCACAGACCTGATAGTTTTTAGTGTAATATCAGTACATGTTAATTACCTAATTTGCATAATAAATTAATTTTCAGCTTTTGATATTTCGAGTAGTAATCATCACATTTCAATGAAACTTGGTACATAGATGTCATATGACACTGCATAGACCTGATAGTTATTAGGGTAATATCAGTACATATTAATTACCTAATTTGCATAATTAATTAATTTTCAGCTTTTGATATATCAAGTAGTAATCATCACATTTCAATGAAACTTGGTACATAGTTACTTAAGGACTGTGCAGAGACCTGATTAGTTTTGGGGTAAATATTTGTGCATATTAATCATCTTATTAGCATAAGTAGTTGAATTTCAGCTTTTCGCCTGATAACACAATTACTGATCATCATTTTCAATGAGACTTGCTGCATAGATCCTCTAGGACTATGCAGAGACCTGATTAGTTTTAGGGCAAAGAATTGTGGATATTAATTGCCTAATTCACATAATTAGTTATTTTTTTCCATGAATGTTCCACTGATATATAAAGAACCACTAATTGGATTTTAGTGAAACTTTTATAGAGTATTCATCATCACATTTCAATAAACCTAGGACTATGCAGAGACCCAATTAGTTTTTGGTAAATATTTATGCTTATTAATCACCTAATTAAAATAATTAATTAACACTGATATCTCAATTACTGATCATCACATTTGAATAAAATTTGGTACATAAATGCTCTGGAACAATAGACAGGACCGATTAATTTTGGGTTGAAATTTGTTTATATTTATTCTCTAATAATAATTCATAGTTTTTTGTTCTAATCACATTTCAATGAAACTTCGTACATAGATATTACATTACGCAGGCCTTATTAGTTTTACACTCAAATTTGTTCATATCAGTTCCCTGATTTACATAATTAGTTTTCAGCTTTTCCATCAATATCTCAAGTACAAGTAATTTTTAATTAATTTTTAATGTGTCTTCAATACTCTCAGCACACAGGAGTTCTTTCTAAGCTTTCTTTGATTGGAGAATATTTTTGAAATTTTTGGCGAAAAATGCTTTTTTTCAATTTCTTGGAAACTACCAGCTCAATTGCTTTGATACTTACTTGGGTTGACCTATATCAGATTTGTTCATTTCGTGACATTATCTTCAATTCTCTATTTTTGGTGAATATTTGTTGTGAAAATGCTATTTTGACTTCTTCTTGAAAACTACCAGCTCAATTGCTTTGATACTTGGTATCAAATTGCGCTGACAGTTTTCTAAAGTAATTCTTATGGGTGTGCATTGCTCGACTTGACTACCAATGTTCTTATAGGACAGCAGACCATCAGTCGCTTGTTGTTTTCTCATATCAGTTTTAAAATGACCAACTGGTGGCTAATTTGTTTTAATGAATGTTAAACGGATCATGTTAAAATATTTCATAAACATTACTTTTGCTTTTGTCTGTTCATGCACGAGTCCATGCATGTATGTATCTGGGATCAAATTCAAACTGTTTTTTATGATGATGTGTTTATATACTTTATTTATCGGTGTAAGAACCAAGGTTCCTGAACATAGAAAATTGCTAAAAAATAGGGGTGGGTTATGCCTGGACATCCCCTGCAAAAAAAAATGAAAATTCGCAAAAATTGACAACATGCTGATCAAACTGAGACAGGGGATAGAACTGTGAATAAAAATATGCAACAGAAATAAATGAACAATATGCAACATTGGAAGCAAAAAACAAAAATACTTTATTGCTTATAATGTTACAAATAAACCAGATATAATAAAACTTGACAGTGAGAAATCATTTGAATAAGGATTTCCCGCCGACAAACATGCCCAATACTCCGGGACTCGAAATGAACTAAGATTTCAGGGGTTAAACTGCGTAAAATTATTTCCGGTTTTGACAAATATAGCTTGATTCAGTTGAAAGTTTGTACACAAGTACTATAAAATTATCTAGGATGTCTTACTTGATCAAATTTGTTGTTCAAGACTCAAAAATTGCAAATTGGTGGGCATTTTGCTTTATTCATGTCTATGCCAATTTCTCAATAATATAGCACCTGATTCATTTGAAAATTTGCATGAAATATTACTTGTACTATACTCATAGGTAATGCCATAGGTTCTGTTATATAATGAACTATATCTTGCATTGAGTGAATCAGTGTCCCAAAAAAAAAAATATTAAAAAAAATCAGTGTTATACATATAGCTTAGAATATCAGCTAATTTGCATAACAGTAGAATATGTTAATCACAAATTTTATTGTTTTATTGTTATACTAAATTGACTATTAAAATTAAACAGTGAGGAACCCCTACACTATAATGCCCTGGGGAGAACTTTGAAATCAAACTTTACAACTACTTTATACATTATGTCATTTGTTTCTTCTAATTTAAAAGGCCCGACTCATTGCAGATTTGTTTACTATTGAACAAACAGGGACTATATCATGCATGCATGTTTAGTGAATATGTTATTACATGTATAATGCAATTGTTGTCTTCACTTCAGGATTTGCGAATTTATATCTCTGAGAATGAATTCTTCACTCAATTTAATGAGAGTAAATATTTATTATGGGAAGAGAATAATTTAGAATATGGTGATTGGATTAGTGGTCCAAATGGTGATGGATCGTATTCATATTCAGGGCAGATTGAAGCTACAGAGGTATGTATATATCGGGTAATCAGCGGTATTGCTGGTGAATGAGTTCACAAGTTTATTTATAGAAATGATGTACAACTCTCTACATGAATGTTTTGGTACTTTATTCCAGTATTGTTCATATATGTACAATCAAGTGTTTTCATGTTCACACCCAGCATCAACACAGATCAGCTTGTACAGTAGTTTCAGTTTAAAAAAATGATTCATATATATTCACTGTATTTAAAACAAGATTTAAATTTGTACATAGGATGGAAATCTGTTTTTAAAAAAAAAACTTTTTGTATTAAAACGTTATACACACTGTATCTTGATGTATGTATAAGCTCACATCTCTAGTGATCCCTACTTGAGAACGCAACACACTGTATGATGATGATTTCAACAAAATGTGAACTTTAATCTGTTTTTCACGACATAAACAAATGGCAAGGGGAAGAAAGTGCTTTAATGCAGAATTAGAAATCATTGAGATGACAGCGTGCATGACTTTGACATGTTGTTGAAAATTCATTGCTACCATGTATGGATACCATGAGTGATTCATGTCTTTGATTGGATAGTGGCTTGACCCTGTGTCAGTCCAAGCTTGCTAGATTGACAAAGCTTTTGTTTAAATTATTAACGATATATATTAACAACCATCTTGCATTATATATTTTTTGGAGAAAACAAGAGAGTACCTCATTGTTTGAATGTCCATCTTGAGCATTACTTGGATCTCACAGCAGTTTTTTGGGGGGTAGAATTGCGTACTTTCTACAAAGCTTCATTGGGCCAACACTGTCACTGTGTGTGTAAAATTCTCTGTCAAAGGCGATTTGTAACGTATTATTTCAAGCTCTAGAAAAAAACAATTATTTTTACTATCGCCTTGTTTTTTTGGTATTTTTGACTCTGTGTGTGAAGCACACAATGGAAGTCTTTGCAGTTAGTGCATCTGTGTGTGTGTGTGTGTGTGTGTGTGTGTGTGTGCGTGTGTGTGTGTGTGTGTGTGTGTGTGTCCGTCCGTCCGTCCGTCTGTTGGTGATCCACTCCGCTAGGATTGCCCTTGTAATCACTTATGTGGCTTTGTGTGTGTGTGTGTGTATGTCTGTGATTTCCAGTGTTTTCACGTATTATTACTTCTGTGTTTTTTTTGGCTTGGCCGATTTCGCTCAAACTTTACAGGTAGGTCACACCTTAACCTAGCCTGACAAGTT